CCCAGGTGTTCGTACTCGGCGATCAGGCCTACACAGACAGTTCAGCAAAGCACTTGGGCTGAGATGGGTTTTCCTGTTTGCAATTTTGAAGTGTAAAGTTCTCAGGCTGCATCAGGAGTCACCTTCAGTCGGGATGAGATGCACCGGTTATGCCACTTCAGGCAAGGGTCTGCAGTGGATTGCATGCATCAGCAGCAGAGTTTGGCATTGTTTGAGCCATCATCTCGAGAGATGAGGCTGAGAACTCACTGTGCCACCAAATGAACAGCCTGAGACCGGAGATCATGGCCATGTATAGCTGTATGAGGAGACAGGGTCAGGGGACAGGACACTCATCACAGATGGTCGGCATCAACCGCGGGAGGTAAGCTCAGAACACGTCCCTATTTCTAGCTCCTGCTGGAGCTGCTCAGGTGAGATGTCCTAGGACAGGAGGAAGGAGGACCTCTGCTGACAGCTCGGTGAAGCAAGCCCTAGCAGCGTGGAGAGATCCTGAGGACAGAGATCAGGGAGACAGAGAAGAAGCTGTGCTCGTATTAACCTGAAGCCGCAGCAGCAGCAGGTGGGAGAAGTTGGGCTCGGGCCCAAGAAGGGAGGAGGAAGTGGAGGAAGCTGATCTGGGATCAGGAAGCTGGTTCATTGCTCTGCTTCCACCACTCCAATGAGGCCAGCGTCCCACTTGTCACAACCTTAAGCAGTATTTTAAAAATTTTTATTTTATTTTATTTTAAAGAGTGATAACAGAAGCAAAAACAGAAGACAGAAACAGGGTAACATGCAACAATACATATGTTACAGATTTTCAAAACAGTAATAGCTAATTAACTAACAATGATTGTTACGTTATCTATTTTAATTGTTTTTTGTTTATTGTTTTATTTTATTTTTTAAAATTTTAATTGTTAAATCTGTTGCTCTGGTTAACAGATATAGTTATGCAAGATTTGGACAAATAATTGAATAATAACACTTTCCAGAAATCTTAATTTTTTCTTTGTATTTTTCTAAATTTATTTTAAAGGCAGCATAATAATTGATAAGACATTAGAAACAGTACATATTTAGTAAAAGGTGAAATATTTATACGATCTAAAGAGAAACCAGAGTATGAAACAGTACATATTCAGATGACAGGTATTCAACCATGGGTTTTGTATTACTCATTGCTGTCCTTGATGCAGTTGCTCAGATTATAGATATCAGCATACAGAGTTAGTCAAGGTGAAAATCCTAAACATTAACTACTATTTTCAAAAGACTTATGAAATTTATTAGTACAATCATCTCAGCCATCCTGTATATACTTGCATGCTTAAACAGCATATGATACAGGAAAAGAGATTCCTCTCAGAAGCACAAGGACCAGAAATGCCCTGGTCCATTTATGAAGGAAAAGGACCACCCACATGCAAATTTTTCATCCATATCTAGATGAAAATGTCCTACTTCTGCTGTTAGGGCTCACAGCTCCTTCCTCCTACACAGATAAGATCTCTGGAGAAGGCAGAGGTGTGGTCTAGAATATGAAACTGGTGGGTCTCGTCCTGTGCCTGGTGACAGGGCCCCATGGTGAGTGTCCTTATTGTTAGATATCGGCCCATGGATTGAGTAGGAAGGCAGGTGGCTGATGCAGCTTTAATTTGTTTCCAGGTGTCCTGTCCCAGGTGCAGCTGCAAGAGTCTGGACCTGGGCTGGTGAAGCCATCACAGCCCCTGCCCCTCACCTGCACCGTCTCTGGTTTCTCCATCACAAGCAATTACTACTGGCACTAGATCCGTCAGCCCCCAGGAAAGAGCCTGGAGTGGATGGGGTACATAACCTACAGTGGTAGCACTAACTACAGCCCATTCCTCTAGAGCCGCATCTCCATCTCCAGAGACACAGCCAAGAACCAGGTCTCTCTGCAGCTGAACTCGGTCACCACGGACGACACAGCCACGTATTACTGTGCAAGAGACACAGTAATGTCATGCCAGTGTAAGACGACACAAACCTCCCTGCAGTGGCACTTAGCACCAGCAGGGGGCGCACAGTCCACACTGGTACTTCCCAGACAAAGTGGAGAAAAAAGTTAGGTTTTCCTTCCAGTTGAAGATCTATCAGAGGCCCCAGGCACAGAGATTGCAAGGATCGTTAGGTTGTAGAGTATGTATTCAATGAAACTATTGATTACAACTCAACTGACTGCAGTCCCGTCAGGTTTTAGGTGCAGAAACATTGAATCACACAAACTATTGCTTTGCCGACTTCACCAGTTGTGTCTGCAGGCATCTCATTTTAAAGAGCTCCTCCCAACTTTGGTTCATGCAAACCTTTTTACTCTGAGTAAATGCAGAATGTTCTACATGCAGACGTCCATGTGTTGTTGGAGCTGCTTATTTTTATTCATTTATTTAATTTTGTATTTAATGCAGGGTCTACAGGGTCTCACTACACAGATCGGACTCGTAGTGATTCTCTTGTTTTCAGCCTCCCAAGAGCTGGGATTACAGGCACACGCCACCACCACCAGTCTCAATCACTCTCTCAGCATACCCAGGGGGCGGGGCCCGCACAGGCTGCGAATCGAACCCCAGTCCCCACGTTTGTCTAAGCAGGCTCTTTAATCCGCTGAGCTATATAGCCAGCTATGGAGCTGTTTAATTCTCCACCCCTGAAGACATTGGACATTGACAAGGCATTGATATTCTGTGTGGATTCTTCCGTGGTCGTTTCTCCTGTACGTAGTTGGTACACAGCTCTGCTGTTGTCACACACCTTACAATCATAGAGCACTCACAAAAGTACATGTATACTGTAGACCCAACTGCAGCTAATGCTGAATTCCAGACACTTTGGGCTTTTTCATATTGCAAAGTCAATTTACTCTATTTTGATTACTCTCAATAAAACTTGGACACCACAGCAAATCTCATTTTCCAAGTGCTTATGGTCACAGGCCTCGACATCTTATGTGCCTGTCAGTTGATTTGGAGCCAGAGAGTGGCCTGAGTGTGGGTCAGTGGATGAACAGGGCATGGCTGACTCGCAACCAGAGAGACAGCCAAGGTCTGTGTGCACAGGAAGCAGGAGGTCAGCTACGTCTGTGTCCCTGACAACAAGGCTGAGCCAGACCTTGACTTTTACTCTGACCTGGTAGAAAATGATTCAGGGCCTTGAGATTGAGGTGGTGCTAAGATGCTGTGGGAGGGATTCCCTGAGCCAAGTCACTCTGGCAGCTTCTCTAGATGAGCATGCACATAAGCAGTCAGTCACTTCTTTTGTAGTTGCAAAATTATGAACAGAATTCAATATAATATAGCAAATCTGGCAAATGACTATCTACCTATGCTTCATCATACGTTTTTTATTTACCTTTCATTTATATGTAAAGCACTGTTTCTTTTAGAAATATATATTAGGGTCGGCCAAATAGCTCAGCAGATTAAAACACCTGCAAGCAGGTGCAGGGGCCAGGGGTTTGATCCCCGGGCCTGCCATGCTGGCTCCGCCCCAGGCTATGCTGAGAGGGCAATTGAGACTGGGCGTGGTGGCGCATGCCTCTAATCCCAGCTCTTGGGAGGCTGTAAACAGGCAGATCTCTATGAGTCCGATCTAGTAGTGTGACCCTGAACACCCTGTAGACCCTGCCCTAAAATACAAAAAATAAAAAATTATATATACATAATTGTGCAATATTTTACAATTAATGATGAAAAATGTCTTCATCATAAATGCAATCCTTATGCTCTGGACTTCACATATTATAACATATAGATCAGAAAAATGAAGACCTAGAACAATTATTATGCAGCTCAACACCAGGCTCCAGTCCAGCCTGGCCTCTGTAGCTCACATGAATGTCTCGGTCCGTCTCCCCATTGGATGTTCATTCAGGAAATCTGAGCCTGAAAGAAGGGCATGATCTTCCAGACACACTGATGGCCACAGATGTGAGGCAGAAGAAGGAACTATTGGCCCGTTAGCAGGGAAATACCTAACTGACATTATAATGAAATAGGTGTATAATACCCAGGGTAATATTATAGCACTTCATGAATAATTCCAACTACATTACACTTTTTCAATATACACCATACTAAAGTGTCAACAAGGAAACATTAGATGAAATCATATTCACTAGGGTTAATGATTTGAATTATGATAAATATTACATAAGATACACATTGATAACTCACAGAAAAGCTACTGGAGAAATTAGAAAATTTTTCAATGATGACAGCATAAATTACATAGTTCTGATATTATACAGTGAGTATTTGATAATAGAGAAAAATTGACAAGGATTTGCAGGTAGATAAATGAACAATAGATACATAGATCAATAGGTAAAGAGATGACAGACAGACGTAGAGATGAGTTAAAGACTTTTCTCACCAAAAATAAAGTACGTTGGATACAAACAAATTGTAGCAGCATTAGTATTTGATAGCTCTCTGCAAAGCTGCTTCACCTGAGCTGAATCAAGAAAGCCTCACAGGCGACCTACAGCCTTCTTCATTGCAGGGTGACATTGATGTGCATAGGGTGGGTCATCCCTAAAGCACAGGTAACACTGGAGGTTAATAAAAACAAAATAGGAATATATCTTTGACACCAAAAGAGGCCATGAACCTCAGTACAGATGCCCACATCTGTCCTGGAGATTGTGAGGAGGACCTGGCTCCACCGGCCTTGTGAACACCAGCTCTGAACTCTTGGTCACTCTTGGTCGCTCCCTTGTGAGGAATTCTGCATTTGTGCAATGGAGCAAATATGGACACTTGTTTATAATATTTTTGAATGCATAACAATAAATTAAGACTATGAATTATGAGTAACATAATTACACAAAATTCTTATTTTATAATATTATTTTCCACACATTTGACCTACAAATTCACATCTAATCTGAAAATGAAATTTTCTACTTCCTGTCCACGGAGGTCTCTAGATAGCAGGAGGAGATGCAAATCAGGCCCCTGTCTCCCACTTTAAACCATCCAGCTCTCACCCTGCAGCTCTGGAGAGACACCCCGCTCTGGGCAGCAGCTGTCTCCCCTTGGTGATCAGGACGGAGTACACACAGCTCACCATGGAGCTGGTGTTGAGCTGGGTTGTATTTATCACTATGTTAAAAGGTGATTCATAAGAAGCAAGAGACACTGAGTGTCTGACTGGCTTGAGTGGGATACACAGTGGACATGTGTGATGTTTACTGAGCAGGATGTGTCTGTGCTTGCAGGTGTCCAGGCTGAGGTGCAGCTGGTGGAGTCCGGGGGAGGCTTGGTGCAGCCTGGCGGGTCCCTGAGACTCTCCTGTGCAGCCTCAGGATTCACCTTCAGTGACCACTACATGTACTGGATCCGCCAGGCTCCAGGAAAGGGACTGGAGTGGGTTGGAGTTATTAGAAACAAGGCTAACAGTCACACCACGGAATACGCTACATCTGTGAAAGGCCGATTCACCATCTCCAGGGATGACTCCAAGAGCACGCTGTATCTGCAAATGACTCAACTGAAAACCGAGGACACGGCCGTGTATTACTGTGCAAGAGACACAGTGAGAGGGCGTCAGTGGGAGCCCAGACCTAAACCTTCCTGTTGTGATGCTCGGGACCAGCAGGTGGCGCTCAGGACACACTGAGTTCAGTGGGTCAGAGCAGGACAGGAGAGGGTAAACCAGTTTGATTTCCTCTTAGAAATTGACGCTTCCGGTCCATATGACAATCCCCAAGATACTCTGCAGGCCTTTGTCAGTCCTCCAGCCTGGTCCACAGGCTGGGAGACACAGAGGAATCTGGTCCCAATTTGCCTCCACTGTCCTGTTCCTTGGGGAGAGGACCAGAGCTAACCTGGGTATAGGATGAGGCGTCAGGGCGCAGGGGACAGGGCTCTACGTGGCCTTGGGGGAGGTTTGGAGACCATGCGGGGAAGTGCTGGACACAGGAGAAATGGGGGCCTGAGGAAAGAGGGCGCTGGTGGTGCCTCCTCCCAGAATCCGCACAGCCTAGACTGCAAGTAAAATCAGGGGGCAGGGGCTAGGAACGGCTAAGGACCAGGGTCTGGAAACCTGGGTCTGGAAACCTGGGTTTCACATTTCTCGATTAGAAGTTTGGTTTTACAGTAAGATACGTTCTCAACGGTACACATAATTAAATGTCATTTTGAAGGAATCATGTCACGATTGTTCTCTGCTCAGCAGGACTAGAACCTGAGGACACACACAGACATGTTGAACTTTTATCCAATGAAAATGGATAAAAGTTCCCGAGCATCACAACAAGATATGACTTCTTAGTGATACTCTCTTTTCACCACCAGTTTTGATCCTTAGAACAGAGGCGCAAGAGAGATAGTCCAGGCTGAGTAATGGATAAAGCTTTAGAAACTTAAATCTTATACTCCATCCATATCTAACTGCGTAAGCCGAACTCAGAGCTCATCTAATTGTCTTTTTAAATAACTCACTATTTCTCGGTTTTTATTCTCCCAACTGTTTTTTGTCTGCTTCCTGAGAATAAAAGACAAAGCTGCTGATTTTAATCCTATGGCTCAGGTGATCTTTCTGGAACTCAAAAGAGGCTCATATGTGACTTTCACACTCAAGGTGACACATGAAGAATTATTTACCCATTCTTGTGCAGGGCATTCACCCTTTACATTTAAATATATTTTAAATTACACATATTTAGTTTCAAATCTATTGAAAATAACAATATTAGTATTGCAAAGTGAAATTTCTGTCTTAATATGGGATGTGATGTCAGAGCTGAGTGTGTTCACCTTACCATCACAGAAGTCCCTCCCTCTCTGTCTCCTGTGGAGTCCACATTGTAGACTGCTGTGCTGCCATTTCTTGATCTTTCAGGAGAGGAGCCAGGAGACCTGTGGTATCCACACACACAAAGCAGGACATCAGGAAGAGCAGCCAGCAGGCAGGAGCTGAGTTTGCATCCACCATAGTGCTTCGTCTTTTTAAATTTTGGCATCAATATATCAAATCCATCCTATCTGTCTAAGAAAATGATTTGGATTTAAACAGAGGACCACTGACCCTCATATCACATGCAAAATACCCTCACTGCACTGCCATAGCTAGAACAAGACCCAAACACATGTGCAATTAATTTTTTACACAGTGTTAAACTATGCATAGTTGATAAGAGATGTTCAATTCGACAAATGATGCTATGGCATCTATTGCAATGACTGTTAACAGAATAAGAGCAAATGTTTTAAAATGTGTTGAAGATATGAATCTCTAGCTTATTGTTGGAGAAAATGTAAATTCATGCATATAAAATAATCTTTTTATAATGAAAAACTGATCCAGCAGTTTTAGATTGTTTTATGTAGCTATGACTAAATATAAGACTACAAAAATCAGCAAATTCTAAAAACTTATACTCTGCCAAATACGAACCAAAAAATCTAAACAGAACTATGATTCATAACAAAAGTAAATCAGAATTAAAAGGATTCTCCCTTCAATAAAATAGAACTTGATGAAATCAATGCTGAATTTTACCAAATAATTAAAGAAGAATTTATTCCAATTCTTCCCAGTTCATTCCAAATATTTTCTTGACTTTTATTTAAATTTACTTTACTCATTCTCACAACATTAATGGATGTATAATTGCTGGATATCATATGATATGTGTCTACTTGTATTGCATTGTTTTTTTTTCTTTTTCGCTTCTCCTTTATTTATTTTTCTAATAGATTGCAAATTGAAAATAAATTATTTACAAACATAAATGAATATAACAATAAAAACTATCCAAAATAAAAATGAAGAAAGAATTTATAGATCAGTCATAAGAGTTCACTGTGCCAAAACCAAGAAACTTATATTCATATAATTAGAATTCTCAAAGTAGAAAGGAGTAGGCAATAAATATTTAAA